ATCAGGGTAGGCCGGTTAAAAACGAATCTTATAACTAAGTAGTAGCGCACCCTAGCTGGCAAATGTATATATTATTTAAAATATTAGCACGGGCAGATTAATATCGAATTTTATAACTAAGCAGTAGCGCACGCTAGAATAGTGCACGATAGCTGGCTAATGTAAATATTATGAAAAAAATCAGCGCGGGCGGATTAAAAACGAATTTTATAACTAAGAAGTAGCGCACTCTAGGATAGCGCACGATTGCTGGCTTATGTAAATTTAAATATCAGGGCAGGCCGGTTAAAAACCAATTTTATAACTAAGTAGTAGGACACGATAGCTGGCTGATGTAAATATTATTAAAAAAATTAGCGCAAGCGGATAAATAACGAATTTTATAACTAAGTAGTAGCGCACGCTAGAATAGCGCACGAAAGCTGCTTTATATAAATATAAATTGAAAAATCTGGACATGCGGGTTAATAACGAATTGTATAACTAAGTAGTAGCGCACGATACCTGGCTAATGTAAATATTATTAAAAAAATTAGCACGGGCGGATTAATAACGGATTTTATAACTAAGTAGTAGCGCACGCTAGAATAGCGCACGATAGCTGGCTAATGTAAATATAAATATCAGGGCAGAACGGTTAAAAACGAATTTTATAACTAAGTAGTAGCACACGATAGCTGCCTGATGTAAATATTATTAAAAACATTAGCGCAGGTGGATAAATAACGAATTTTATAACTTAGTAGAAGCGCACGGTAGAATAGCGCACGGTACCTGCCTTAGATAAATATAATTTAAAAATCTGGACGGGCGGGTTAATAACGAATTATATAACTAAGTAGTAGCGCCTAATACCTGGCTACTGTAAATATTATTATAAACATTAGCGCGGGTGGATAAATAACGAATTTTATAACTTAGTAGTAGCGCACGCTAGAATAGCGCATGGTAGCTGCCTTAGATAAATATAATTTTAAAAATCTGGACAGGCAGGTTAATAACGAATTATATAACTAAGTAGTAGCGCACAATACCTGGCTAATGTAAATATTATTAAAAAAATTAGCGCGGGTGGATTAATAACGAATTTTATAACTTAGTAGTAGCGCACGGTAGCTGCCTTAGATAAATATAATTTTATAAATCTGGACGGGTGGGTTAATAACGAATTATATAACTAAGCAGTAGCGCACGCTAGAATAGCGCAGACTAGCTATCTTAGATAAATATAATTTTAAAAATCTGGACGGCCGGGTTAAGAACGAATTAAATATCTAAGTAATAGCGCACGATAGCTGGCTAATGTAAATATAAATATCAGGGCAGGCCGGTTAAAAACGAATTTTATAGCTAAGTTGTAGCGCACGCTAGAATAGCGCACGATAGCTGCCTTAGATAAATATAATTTTAAAAATCTGGATGGGCGGGTTAATAACGAATTATATAACTAAGTAGTAGCGCACGATACCTGGCTAATGTAAATATTATTCAAAAAAATTACCACGCGCGAATTAATAACGAATTTTATAACTAAGTAGTAGCACACGATAGAATAGCGCACGATAGCTGGCTAATGTTAATATAAATATCAGGGCAGGACGGTTAAAAACGAATTTTATCACTAAGTAGTAGCGCACGATAACTGCCTAATGTAAATATTATTAAAAACATTAGCGTGGGTGGATAAATAACTAATTTTATAACTAAAAAGTAGCGCACGATAGAATAGCGCACACTAGCTGCTTTAGATAAATATTATTTTAAAAATCTGGACGGGCGGGTTAATAAGGAATTATATAACTAAGTAGTAGCGCACGGTAGCTGGCTGTAGAATTAGTATACATTAACAAGTATTAGCGCACGCGAAACTGTTGAATGTCAGCAATAGCCCTGTATCTTGGAGCTCTCTGAATTTGATTTCAAGAACCTACTCGTGCCACCTTTTGGTCTTTAAGCCCTGCTCACTTTTCAGCTGTTAGTTTTTTACTACACGTATACTAGTGTATCTATGACATTAGTCTACAACTGTAGCCATGTAGCCAACCTCACAACGAAAAAAGAGTATTTGCCTGTATGGAAATTGTCGCTGACCCATAGAAGTCTCTATATTATACTGATCTGTTAAGGAAAGTGGGCGATTACTGGGCAAGAGTCATGCTAAGCCAGGCGAAGCTGCACCCAAATCAACGCCGTATCACAAACTCACTGGAGGCCAAGTTAAGTGCCAGGCTGCGGCCAAGGTGGGCGGCGTGGCAGCCAAGCTTGGGCCCAGTTTTCGCCCACTTTCAATTTCTACTCGGGTTCCGCAGTCATGTAACCGCGGCCTTACGTGGTTTCATGTGCCTGCAGCCTTAGGCCGCGGACACATTTAGAGCGTGAGGGCTCGGGCACATGGAACCGCGTAAAGCGTAAAGCGTATCGCGTATCGCTTATCGCGTGAAAGTAAGGAAGGTTATGTATACGCCACTTTTTGGTCACATAGAAAAAGCGTAAGGGCTTGGGCACATGGAACCGCGGAAAGCGTAAAGTGTATCGCGTAAAAGTAAGGAAGATTAGGTATACAACTCTTTGTGGTCACATAGAAAAGGCGTAAAAGCCTCGCGTATCGCGTAAGTGTGAAGTAGAGGGGAGTTGACCAATCTGCTGTCTTGTCAACAAAAAAAGCTTTCGAAGTTCTCAACGCAAGTGAATTCTAACCTGCGTACATGTAAAAAAAAAGTTTTCAAGTATATACTTCTTTTTTTCCTTTTATTTGATAGCCATTAATACATTTCATACATCTTAATCATTACACTTTTCACTTTTTCTTTGCAACATTGGGTCATTGCGTAGGTCGTTTAGACTTTCCACAATTTGCCCAAAGTTCTTACGATTTATTTTTTATCCATGTCAGGAATTCGATTAATTGTACAATTGATACTGTAATTGTTGTTGTTGACATTACTGCTGACTGTATTTACAGCTTGCATACTTTATTTACGCTATACGCGAAAAAATTTGTCATCGCGCACATGGGTTCAAAAATACGGGCGTAACTTCATTTTTGCCATGAGTGCGAGCGAGACAGCATGTGCAAAGCCAACGAAATACTCGCTGTGATTGGTTCAAAAACACTTACGCGCGTATTTTTTACTCCGATGTGCGCGATGACAAATTTTTTCGCGTAAAGCGTACCTTACCTAACTTCCCTGATCCTATGATTTTACGCGATACGCGATACGCTTTACGCTTTACGCGGCTCCATGTGCCCGAGCCCTAACGCGTACCGCGTAACCATTGTAGCCCATGAGAGTGAGAGAGAGGTAAAATACGTGCACCTCTCTCTCACTCTTATGGGCTCAAAAGGTTACGCGGTATGCGTTACGCTCTCCATGGGACCGTGGCCTTAGGCTTGGTTTGGAGAGCGTAGCGCGTACCGCGTAACCATTTGAGCCCATAAGAGTGAAAGAGAGGTGCGCGTATTTTACCTCTCTCTCTTTCTTATGGGCTCCAACGGTTACGCGGTACGCGTTACGCTCTCCATGTGATCGGGGCCTTAGTTGCGGTTGGTTTGGATTTTCGACCATCCTCGGGCCTCAGCCATGGCTTAGCCGCTTTAGTTTTGCTCTATAAAGGCCCACCACGCTAGGGTTAAAAGTTGGAAAAGGTACAGCAAAAGTTGATTTTCGACTTTGGAATCGACTTGAAATTTTTTGACTTTCAAAGTCGACTATTCGTAAATAAAAGTTGACTATTTGTAAATAGAAGTCGACTTTCTTACTTAAATTGACTTGTAGAAAATTCAAAACTTATGCATAATAAATATATTATTATATTAGGTCTTTACATATAAGTACTGTTTTTAACTATTTATAAATAAACGTTTACGAAGTAATTGTGCCTGGTAAGACATTGAGGATTAAACGTAACTCTAAAAATTCCAATTTTATTTGAATCACATATTTTTATCTACTGATCGTATCAACTCATTTAAATGCTGAGGTGACAAGAAGCGGCTCCTCAACGGGTTAGCAATAAGACCAGCATGCGAAAATAATCTTTCACAAGGTACAGACGTTGCTACTATGGAAAAAACTTTTTGGAAACACTATAAGTGTGGATATTCGTATTTCATAGATTCCCATGCTTTAAACGGATTAGGGTTTTGTATTTTACTAAGAGCTGGGCGTGATAAGTACTGCCTTAATTGTATTGGAAGATTAGGGAGTCCCCCAGCTTCATCTGAATCTGCTTGAGAGTAACTACAAGCAACGGCTTTATCAATATAGCACCATATGTCATTAGATTTTTCCAAATTTTGACTTTCTACAACCTTAGTACATGAAATCGTTCCCGTTTCAGTTGATGCTAAGCTTTTTTCTATGCTAACAAGGTCACCTAATCCTTAAGGCTGCAGGCACATGTAGAGCGTAAAGTGTACCACGTTACTATTCGAGCTCATGAGAGTGAGAGAGAGGTGTGCGTATTTCACCTCTCTCTCACTCTAATGGGCTCAAACGGTTACGTGGTACGCGTTGCGCGTAACCGAGGCCTAATAAAGGGCACATTCGATTTTCTTCGTTCGTTTGTTCGTTTGGTTCGTTTCGTTCGTTTCGCTAGCACAGTTCGTGCTGCTCAGTCGTTTCTTATGCTTGTTAGACGTTGTGTCTATTTTAAAATAAGCTTACACATTAATATTAAAGACAACAATTTAGAACCTTTGTGACAGTTAGTGACTATTATTATTTCCAGCAGTGGATGACCCAAGCCAATGAACACAAAATGTCTGAACTCACTTAGTGGTTACAAGCGAACAGTACGAGCGAAATGAACGAACCGAACGAACGAACGATGAAAATCGAACGTGCCCAAAAAACCAAAAAAACCCCCATAAAAAAATTTTCCAGTAAAAGTCGATTCTAGTCGACTTCAAGAGACGTCTGCTCGATTCTAAAAAGTCGATTCTTTTGAGTGAAAAATCGACCTTAGACTAAAGTCAGAGTCGACTTTTCCAACCCTATATTGCACTCACCTGTCTTCCCGACATCGTGATTTTTCGGCATTAACGAATCCTGCGTAGGTAGTAAAAATGTAGAAATTGTAGTTTCTTTTGCCTTCGGTGACCAGATTTGCAGTAAAGTTTCTATTTAGTTACAAATTTACATTTAGATAAAGACAGATAATAATGGCAGAAAATGTTCAGAGAAACCTAGAAAATATGAGACCTATTCTTGAACACATGGAAAAGTTACAATTGTTTACAGGCACGGAAATTAAGTAAGTGCATTAGGAAATGCTGTACAGTGATATTTGATTAATGTATTAGTTACATATTATTCGGGATCATGTTCATTTCTAATTGGTTAAAAACAAGCTTCTACTGTTACCTACAATTTCTGGTGAATTCGATAGTCTGATTGAAACTTTTGACTTTGGTTAAAGTTGGTATACTTTTCCTCCGTCATTGTCTGCCAGGAATATACATTACGAGTCGCTGTTGTGAGGTTTATTTATTATCTATAAAGTTTGTTCAGTAATATACATTCATATGTACATGAGTAAATTTGTATTATGCTCCTACTTAAAGAAACGATGGCGGATTTCTGTGTTATGAATTCAGGAATGCCATACATGTAAGGTAGTTCAACTGATTTTTCTTCTATTAAAAATAATTCAATTTTTATAATTTTTTTTTTCATTTCTTGAATAGTACTTGAATTACCTTGATTTAGAGTTATCATCCAGATGGTAACACTGAATTTAAGTGTCGACAGTTAACAACCCATTAATGTTTGGTAGCTACCCCTAGATAACAAAATTCTTCTTTGTTTCAATAAGCTATTTTATATGTTTTTCCATATGGAAGCACGTGTAGTATTACCACTTCAAAATCCTTAATGTGAATCTACATGTAAAACGTATGTTATGCCGTATGGCTTTCATGAACTATTGACACATAATTGCGTCATCCTTATTTAGGCAGGCTGTAATTTTTATTTTCAACAATAACGAAAGTGCAGAAGTATGCTTTTGTAAAATTATTTATTGGTTCTGTTGGGTTTAGTCTACAGTACAATTGGAATGTTTAGCAAATAATAAGTTCATATGTAAATATTTCATTATTTAATATATACCTAAATTGGATTTTGGGTCATGATAGTTAAGGTAGGCTGCAAGTTGGTTATGGCAGAGAACAAACTATATTAGAAACACGACCGATTGCGGAATAAACGTTGGTCATAACATAGTAAGCAGTTATTTAAGAATAAAAGAATGCAGATACCACTGTCCAAAGTATGTATCAAAAGTTTCACACGTTGGAATCCAACAAAAATCCGAAGTTGTTTTGTATGGTTTAACAACTGAAATACCTTACAAAACTACATTACACGAACATGTATTATGGTGATTAATGATAAAAACTGCCAAAAAAAGTTTTAAAGTACAGAAAATGATATATATATATAACACGTAAACTTAAGGTGCGAGCAGAAATTTTCAAATACATCTACCTATTCTCTTGTGATCTTAAAAAAACAATATTTTATTCATCAGCTGTGAATGTTCGCCCGTGAAAGAATTACAAAATAAATTTAATCATACTCTTCAAACACTAATACAACTAGAATGTAAGTATCGAAGCCCGCAATCATAACCTCTGTTAGTGATGACTGACTTAGATTCCCAAAAAATTGAAAAAAGAGCACTTTTTTGGTGATATTTTTTCATTCACTTGTGCTAAAATTACTTTAAAAAATTTTATTATACTCTCCAAACACTAACACAACTAAAGTGTGAGTATACAGGGCCGCAATTATAACCTCCATTAGTTATGAGCACTTAGATTCCCAAAAAATTCAAAAAAGAGCACTTTTTCGGTGATATTTTTTCATTCGCTAATGCTAAAATTACTAAAAAAAATTTATTATACTCTTCGAACGCTCATATAACTAAACTGTAAGTACAAAAGCCCGCAATCATAACCTCTATTTGTTATAAGTACTTATATTCCTCGAAAAATGGCAAAAACAGTACTTTTTCATCGATAGGTTTTCATTCGCTGGTGCTAATATTACAAAAATAAGTTTTTTATACTCTGCAAACATTAATACAACTAAACTATGAGTATAAATGCCTGCAATCATAACCGCTACTAGTTATAGACACTTGGATTTTTAGAAAATTCATAAAATAGCACTTTTTCAGCGATAGTGTTCGATTTTCCGGTGCTAAAATTACAATAAAAATTTTATCTCACTCTCCGAACACTAATATAACTTAACTGTAAGTATTAAAGCCCGCAATCATATTCTCTATTAGTTATGGGCACTTAGATTCCTAAAACATCATTTAAACAGCATTTTTTCTGCGATAGTTTTCCATTTGCTGGTGCTAAAATAAAAAAAAAATTTAATTAATCCCTCTAAACACTTATACAACATTACTGTGAGTATGAATGCCAACAATTATAACCATTATTAGTTTTGGGCACTTAAATTCCTAAAAACTTGAAAAAATACCACTTTTTTAGCGATAGTTTTTCATTTGCTTTTGCTAAAGTTACAAAAAAAATGTAACGATACGCTTAAAATACTAACACAACTATACTGTACGTATGGAAGCCCGAAATGTTTACCTCTTTTAGTTATAGGCACTTAGATTCCCAGAAAATTCGAAAAATACCACTTTTTCGGCGGTAGTTATTCATTCACCGCGCTAAAATTACAAAAAAAATTGTAACGTACTCCACGGGCACTAATACAACTAAACTGTAAGTACAAATGCCTGCAATTAACACCTCTATTAGTTATAGATACTTCTATTTTCAGAAGTTAAAGTTAGCATTTTTTCTGCGATAGTTTATTAGTTTATTCATAATTAAATAGTTTATTTTCTTAGCCAGTGATAAAATTACAAAAAAAAATTTATTTTCGTTTTCAAACACTTATACAACTATACTATCAGTATGAATGCCTGCAATAATAACTTCTAGTAGTTATGGATACTTTAATTCTCAATATAACGTACTAAAATTATAGCTTGATTCTTCCGGATTTGTTTAAATGGTAGTTGAGGAACTGTTTGCCGAGCACTTTAATTTACGTTTACCTAGGATCTGGATAGTTCAGAATTTGTAAAAACTTTAGAAGTAGTCTCTAAAAATATCTTGATAACATATTTAAAGTATAGCTGGGTTTTTTAGGATTTGTTCAAATGTCAGTCGAAAACCCGTTTGCCGAGCACTTTCACCTTGGTGTTATTTACATTTATCTTGGTTCCAGATGTTTTCCATTCGTTGGTACTAAAATTACAAAAAAAAATTTACTACACTCTTCGATCACTAATACAGTTATGTATATTTAGAGCTTTAAACACGTAAAATATTATCTATCATTAGCGATACTTTTAAAGCTTGAGACCAAGAACTAGAAATTCAGATATTTTCAATGGATTCTTCTCAAGCTTGTTTATTATGTCTAGAAGTCTAAAAATTATAAAAAAATTCATGTGGACTTCTGATTACCATAACGCCGTTTATTTTAATTTTTAAATGATTGCATTTGAATTAACATAGGTTATTAATAAATGATAGTAGAGTCGGGCACAACAGTTTCCAACTAGTTTGGACTTTTTATTATATACCTTATAAGCTTCTATAGCTTGTTCAAGGTCTTTATGTACCCCAAGTGTTTATTTTCCAATGAGTTTATTGAACTGATTCAACGGCCTTCGCAGACACGGATTCCCGAGAATTCAAACGGCCTTGGCCCCTTTGTTACCTTACCAAAATATGGATCTATACGTATCTATGCATATATAAGACAAGGAAAATTCACGGCAAGTATTATGGTGATTTGATAAATGCAGGTCTGTATTATTTTGTTATATTATCGAAATCATAAAGTGAGCTTTATAAGTAATTCCTTGCTGCACGGAGCATGGTTTGTGTTTATGAATTGATGTATCTGTTCTAATTTACTAGGAGATGATTTGGAAAGAATCAAGATAGGGTAGAAATGTTCTTGGTGTCAGCAATGCTAGTGCTTTCACGTGAACTATTTCGGAAGGGTCTTGAAATACTTTTGATGGGTGTACTTATCTGATATGAGTTGTTGTAGTTTTATCTCACAATTAGTCTTCGCTCTTGTTATCGTTTCCTCGATGACTCAATGACGATTCTATTTGTAGCGTGTAATTACTTTCTTGTTATTTTGGAAGAGAATGAAGGTACTTAATATATGTATGGAAGGTTGAAATTCAGGGTACGAGCCTGAAAGTCATCCTTACGACATCCATATGTTTACCAAAAGCAAGCAATAGACACAAAGGTTTCAATATTATAATTAAATTTATGATTTATTAAAATTTATCAATTTTACTGTGATATGTATACAAGTTTGATCTCATATAACAATATGCAGAGCTAATATTATTTTCGGTTCTATTCGCTTGGTTTTGGCAGAGCCATAGAAGAAGTATAGTGAGGAATAGGGTACGAGCCTACTTCTCTTTATCGACTCCTTACTGAGACTGCTGCTTTAAGCAAAATCAAGTTCACTCATCGCCTCGGTTTTCTCCCACTTGGTACAATGCCTCTCCTTCTTCTATAAAGTGAGGGAAATTTATTTTATTTATTACATGAACGGTTTTTTCTGTTATATTTATGCATCATAAATTATCAATGCAATTCGGTAATTCAACTTTTGTCATAATATGTTGGATTTTGTACATACTGCGTGAACGGAATTTTCAGTTATAATCTTACAGAAAAAATTGAATGAATCTGAAACATTTTATTTTAAAAATCTTATTGAGGGAGTAAAGTAGTTGCAGTTTTTGTGAAATGACCCATATATGGTTGGGAGGGTGGTGAGGATATAAACAATTTTTTTTTATCATGCGGAATTCACTGGTGTGATCCTGAAGTTGTTTTGTGTGCATCATAGTTAACTTACACATCTATTATGACTCTGATATACTTACTAATGTACGTTTATAAAATATTTATACGTGTTTAAAATACGAAAAATACTGCTAACTCACATATCAATTATTACTTGTTCATTATCACTGTCATACCTTAGAACAATAACAAGCAGTATCATCTACATTTACTACCTCAATCGGTCAGCAAAAAATTATAAGCTTGAATGTCTTTGATGTAGCGAACGCCTAAAAGTCCTAAAAATAAAATACCACACCATTCCATACAGTAATTTTTGTAGGTAGGTTGGAGTTTAAATACACAAGTTTGTTACATTTTAATTATTATTTAT